CCCGAGTTTTAGCAGCAAACAACTTTCTGTCACATTTTATTACTCTGTATCATTTTTACTAATACCTGTCTTATAGCTTCATGACTTTGAGTTCATTTTATTTTCATGCTAGAATTAGAAAGAAGTAGATAGCCAGACTATCCAGGAAGGTAATGGAAAAGTCTTGTAGGGGGGCTTAGTGGTGGAATTTATAGTTAAATGAAACTTTCAAATATACTATAAAACTTCTCCTTCCTTTACGTGGTTTTATGTGAGAACTCATAAGCAGTAATATGTAGAAATGCAAAACTTAAATCAGCTAAAAAATACAGCAAATCCCACATATCACTTTATGCAATGCCAGGAGAGTAGAAATATATTTTCCTAACCAGAGGAAATTAACTAGGCAACAGTCCTATATCTATAATTTAAAGCAGTAAAATATGTATGGCAGAAACTAAAGCCACCTTAAAAGAATTCAGTGGAGCAGTGTATCACAAATTTATGAAATGGAGACATTTTTAGAGCATGCAGCACTGACGATATTAAAGGGGGGGGAGAATATTTCACCACATAGATCAGTCTGATAAATACTTTTAAAAATCAATCTTTTTCCCTGTTTGAAAGTGTAAGAGCTTGACTATTAGGGGGAAGCACACACAAATTCATTAACATTTCTGATCAAATCTTAGTGCTGCCCCACAGAGATTAGGAATATCTTACTCGTCCCTGCATGTAAACCTCTAATGTGGTCAGAGGAAAATCTGAGTAAATCAAAAGGCAGAAATTATGGAGTCAGCTCTTACTTTATTTCACCTAAAACAGAGCTGAAAGAAACTCAAAATACTTTATATTCCATGCTGTAGCCAAGCTGGGCACTATGGAATATTCAACTACCCCAGGTTTTTTAAATGCAATCAATTTACTGCTGCCAAATGTAGTACGTTTATATACATCTGGGAAACATGCACCTACGGTGCTGATGAATTTCCCCTAACATTGCACTGATTTCAAGAGAATGTTATTTTAAATTGGCAGTAGAGAGACCGGTAGAGAAGGATAAAGCCCTGAGGACAGCTGAATCAAAGAGAATTTCAAAAGAATTTTCCTGATGGTTCTTGGATAATATCACATGTTAGCTATTTTCAAAGCCAATAGTTTCCAACTCACTTCCATTTATGGTATCAATAATTAAAAAATACTTCAGTGGGAGATGAACTTACCTTACTGAGAAGAGAAATTGGAAAGCTGCATTATTATTGTAAACACAGGAGATGCAAAAAGCTTTGTCTCCATGGAAAAGCTATGGAAACAGGGATATCTTATTTGCAACTATTGAGTGGTTACCACAAAATGTGATGTGATTGTATGGTGCATGTTCAAAGCATTACTAGAACTTGATCATGTAGAAATTAAGGGCAGATCCTCAGCTCCTTTGCGTAGCAAGGCCAAATTAAACCACCTGAAGATTTGGTTCTAAAACCCAAAGTCAACTAGAGGAAGTGTTAAGGAAATGTTTTGGATCAAATTCAGAGGTAAAACTAAGTTTAAAGAAAATTTAAATTACCAAAACTTAAACCTCATTATGTCCCACTCCCTGCCAACATGTCCCTGCCAGCTACTAATGAATTTTTAACATCTTTCCCCCACCCCGCTGCGCACATCAGCTCCGACTCCGGCACCCTGAACCGTACAGCGCGTTACAGTCTAATTGTAACTCACATGTCAAGGGGCAAGAAGAAAGGAGTGTGGCGAGAGCATTGATAAATTTAACTTAACATTCCTCCAGCTACTCAGCAGTAAGGCAGAGCAGTGAACTCCTCTCCACATTTTACATGGGTGTCGGTTACTTCAAAGGAATATATTTGAGTGTGAGGGAGTCTGGCTCGCTCCCAGCTTATGCATCATTTGTGTCTGGCTGTTTCTGGAGACCCACAGCAAAGCAAAGACTTCCTCCAGTTTGGGGTACATTGTGGAGCTTTCCATAGCTGTTTTCTTAGGGGTGCTGTATGTTGCATACAGAATCTGTAGCTGGAGCTGCAGCTCTCACCCTCTGCATTTCTTCCTTTTCCTTTCTTTTTTCCCTCCATTTTTTTCCAGAGTGCCCTCAGTCCAGGTTACATATTAATGAGCTATACCTGTTCAATTTAACATACAAATGTGCTTTTAAGTCAAGCATCTGGAGTAAGGCAAGAGGCAGCAGCGAGTTGCCCTCGCAGCGTGGTCTCGGCACAGCGTGGGCAGGGTGGGGATTCAGGGCATGAGGAACAAGCACTGCTTCCTACCCATCCGTGATTCCTGGGGAATCGTGCAACAACCACGGTCAGGGGAAATAGTGCGACTGCATGAGGTAACGTTAAGGTTTCTGTGATCCCACAAACTCTCTTTTGAATGTTTTGGCACTTGTGTCTCGACAGCCCTTTATTGACATTAATGGCATTATTTTACCTTGCAATTAATCTCATTAATTGGCTGATCAATTTTTGGAAATTTTTTTAGTGGCACAGGGAGAAGAGCTGTTGTAATACGTGCAAGGGATCACCAAGCTATTATTAACTAAACATACAAAAACTAGTTCAAGAATTTCACACACACACAAAAGAAAGATGGTATTTGTCATGACAGAAGTGCAAATCACAGAGGTGACCTCTGGTTTTGAAGTCCTTTGTCTGTTCTTACAATTAAGCAATAAGGCTTTGGTGGCTGATACCGCTTGTGAGACATGGAGGACTTTCATACTATAAATAAGGCTGAGTGACCTCCACCACAAATGAAGGCTGCCTGCCTGCGGCAAGGTGGAGAACAGGAACAACTCCCAAAGGATTAACAGCTGCAAATAAATATCCCAGTCCCTAATTTGAATCAGTAAATTAAGGGATGACAGTGATTATGGCTGATCTCAGCCATCATAAACGATATCATGACTCTGTAAAAGCAGGTGGTTGTTGTCAGATCTTAGAGCTAGGACCCATAGAATGGAATATTTAAAAGTTGCAGTCTCCGAAGATAGATAAAAGCCTCAAGACTATGGTGGTTTGGGGTTTTTTTTTTTGTATTTGTAAGGCCCAAACTAGACCCTTTAATCCACAGGTTGATGTTTTCCAATCCTACTAGGAATTAAGTGCCTAACTCTTTCAGCCTCTTTGAAAAATCTCAGCTTTAGGCTCTCAAGTAAGTTTGGCCTGATCCAGCAACAGGCTTCTTTTCAAAATGCCTTTAATGAAAGCAGAACAGTAATCACTCAACTATATAATCATGGCACAAATATTTTTTTTTTCCCCCATGTAGCCAATTATTGTAGATTTCTGGCTAAATGTCAAAGGGTAAAACTTGCATTTCAGAAAAAATGCATGTTATGGAAAGCTTTTTTCCCCCCTTTTAGTGCAGTATGTCTACCTGTGCAGTTATTGAAAGCTGGTTTAGTATTTAGCTATTTTGATCCTTCCAACTAATTGCTGTGTTGATTTAGTAGATTGCTGTATTAAACTGAGAGATCTGAAGCGATAGCTACTTACTGTGATCACATCTATGCATAAACTCAACTTAGTCAACCCTTTCATTGTTCCAGTGAATACTGTATCTGAAATTATGAGGAAGGTATCATAAATTTGTTTTACAGAAAAGCCTCATATTAAGTTATTCTGGTCCCCAAGCCTCCTTTTCTCTTATTAAAAAAAAAAAGTCTGTGGACTTTGGTGCCCTTATCAAGGATCTGAGTGTTTATTATGATTAAGACCTTCAGAGATATTTTTCTTTTTCCTCTAGAAATAGGGAATGCTGAAGATACGAAAAATGAAAAATGTGCCATGTTTGTCCTTGAAGTTACAGTCAGAATAGTGACAATGGCTGTATCACACTGTATTGTTGCTTTTATCAGCAAGTGCCCCGAGCATACATTAACATAATTGCAAACTGCGTGAAAAGTGAACATGCAAAAATGTGATGCAATTGCCAATAGCCTCAAACATCTGTCCCAACAAAGTGTTCCTCCTCCTTATTTTAATTCTTATTATTTTAACAAGGTTAGTGAAGGAGAAACCATGTCACAGATGATATCTACATTTAGAGTGTCAGAACAATTATTGATGCAAAATTGTTATCCAAGCAAATGTGTGTCACATTTTGTTCACTTCCCATAACACCTGTTCATTTCGCTAACACATTATTCCCAGTTAAAGCCAGAACTCATTAGTCCCAGTTAAAGCCAAACTGAAAGCTTAATACGTACATACATCTGAAAAATTGAAAAAGTTAACCAAAAGGTAGCACCGTTCAAGCACGGTGTACATCTGAAGCTGGTGGGCAGCAAACTTCTGTAGCAGCTAACGGAAAGAAACTGAGCCAGAAAAATAGCAATAAATTAAAAGCCACCCAGCCTTAAGAGCTGAGATCAAAGAGAAGCGCTATTCAAACGACCTGCATTTCAATCACGGTGCTGAGACCTTCGAAACTCACTATGCCAAAGAGCCCAGCACTTTCCCTGTGCAACACGTTTTGGTTTATCTCCTCAATAGGCAAATGACAAAAGCCATTATGAAGCAGATCATTTAGAGCATTTTAATTTTACCTAAATATTTTCTGACCCGCTTTGGGGTTCTCCAGACCTAAGCCTGGACCTCCTGTCTCCCACCACGCACACAGAGGGCCACTGTCTCCTTGCTCCCTGAACTGCTCACGTTTGCCACCAAGGAAAGTCCAACTTGCATTTCTGTGATACTTGAACACACATTGTGAATTCGAGGGCATCTGCCCTGCAGACATACCGCTAACTGTAACCCCAGGAGGCTTAAAGAAATATCAGCACTCAAATTCATAGAGTAAAGGTCTGAAGAGGCAGCTCTGTGAACGGATAACTGCCCGGGGCTTTGCCAAGCACAATATAGCTGTCACTTGTTATTACATGAAAGATTTTCTGGGGAACAGTGTTTTTCATTTTGCATGTCAGAGACAGGGGAAAAAACACATTTAGACAACCATCTCTTTAAGAAAAAGAAGAGAGCCATGCGGCAGAGCTCACTTACCAGGGCTGGTTATTGTCAGGAGGTCAAGCTGCCGTTTCTGCTGAAAAACAAATTATAAAAGAAATTGTTAAAAGGGGACTAATTTTAGTGGGTCAGCTTAGACCTGCAAAATAAGTGTTCTGACATTTATAGCAGAATTAATTACAAGTTACATGGCTCACAGTAACTCTTTTGGATGGGATCCACATGTACTTTATGAGGAAGAAAAAACCCCCCTTGCTCAGTCCTTTTAATGTGTTTTTATTTGCACTCATAAAGTGTTACTATTTCTTTTTTGGAACATATACTTGAAATGGATAGCTAGAAGCACAGATGGACCGATATATTTATAAAAGTGATTTCTGATTCCACAGGGAAGAAGACAAGGAACCAAGACAAGAAATTCTAAGTTCTTTATTCATATCAGTCATTGACTCATAGCCTGTATGTGATCAAACACAATTATATCGCCTTGGGGTGAACCTTTCAAAGACATGTAAGAGGATCTAGACAAACTCAAGACTGATAAAAGGAAAGCTTCTTTTCATGCTGAGCGCAGTCAGCCCATGGATCTCTGCCACCAGATATCCCTCACCCCAAAAGCTTGCCAGACTTGATCATCGCTGGGTATTTGTACAGATAGCAAAATACAGGCAGTTATAATGGCAAATAATCAAATTTAAATGGAAGAGTGGTTTCTGGAAGGGCTGCAAACCTTCACAGGGTAAACCAATCTGTACTAGAAGAAGGTTAGGAATTTTTTTTTGCCTGGAACAAGCTATCCCACCAATGGCTTGATGATGGTGGGGTGCATCCAAGGTTCCCTTTCCCCTGTAACATGTAGTCAAGGCTGTTGCCTAGTCCATGTTCCCAGCCTTAGGTGACCTCCCCACCATTGCCTCCCTGTGGCCTGCTACTGAAATTCATGTGCTCCTGGACTGTTATCATCCTTTTCAACCTTTCTGTGAGCTGAGAGCTTTCCATCACCAGCAGGGCTTTCCCCAGCTCACAAACAGACTGTTCCTGCCTCTTCTTCATAGCACTTCCTAACTTACTGTCTTCTCCCTAACTTTGCCCAACATTAGTGTGTCTAGCTGGCATTGATGATTATACTGTCGAGTTTAATTTCTCTCTCCTAATCTGCTCAATAATGTCTGTGTTACTTTCATTTATTGTCAGCCCTATTGATCTTTTTCTAATCTAATTCTCATCACTGCATTCACTGTATTCCCTGGGTGACAGCTAAAAGTCCTTGAGGAGGAAACATTGACTTGGTATTCCCTACCGTGAACGCTCTTCCCTGGAAATTATGACTGATGAAACTCCTTTCCAAGCCTATCATTTCTCTGTAAGTAAAGCTTCACTGGCTATGGACACAGTTGATCATCCACTGGATATACTTGAGCTATATGCCCAACAGTGAATGTGGCCTACTGGGAAGCTGAGTGGGGTGTCAGGCTGAAAAAACACATTTTCTGAAATCCTTCCTGGCATTCAGTACCTTAACTCTTGTACAACGCAAATCATATTTGTGACAAAATCCATTCCTGTCTGCTTTCATAGGTACTCCTGTTCTCTTAACTCTGACAAGTCGTTCTGAGTATGACCTTAGCGGTGTGCTTGATCACATTTGCTTTATTATCAAATACTAAGGCAAGCCTATGCGAAGCCTTTTTCCAGGAGTGCCAGGGTAATTGTAAAAGGGAGCAGAAGACCCTGCCACTGCCTTGTGTCACCTCCGCAAAGAGCCATTCAGGAATGCTGTCCCTACTCTGCTGGGGTCTGCTCACCCCACCCTCCTTTCCCAGGGAGCAATAAAGCAAAGTAAGCGATAGTGTAAGCAGAGGACCCGCCTCCCCAGTGGGAGCCATAAGACGGAACATTTCCTAATGAGCTAAATTCTTTATAGATCCTGTGCCTTAATCCTGATTCATATATAAAGCTACGAAATGCCAGGGCTTAGCACCCACTGGGCCAAAAGCTTTGCTTACATTTCTCAGCACAACCGGAACTCCAAATGCTGTATATCTAATGAACAGCTAGAGCAGAAAATATATATCCAAAGCCTATACTCTGTGAAAGCTTCTCTACTGGGAAAAAAGGTGGAATATAAATATCCTGTGTGAAAGAAGGTTGCAAAATGTAGAGACCTGGAATAGAGGGAAAGGCATGTAGCCCAACTGGCTCATGGTCCTGACTTGAGTCTATTAACTAGGATAAAAATAAACATTAAATAAAAACCTAAATAGCTTAACTTGATACTGGAGGAAAACAAAATAGGCTAAACAAAATGGGAAATAAAATGAAATTATTACAAGTCAAATGTTCAGTTTGTAGCTTCTTTCCTGTTTGGACATTGCCTTCAAGCTGGCCTTGGAAAAAACAAATTAATCCCAGATCCAGGAAGTCTTTGTGTATGTGTGGAACTTGAAGCACAAGTTATTTCTCTGACTTCAAGTGGAGCAGCACTGATCTTTTGCATCTAACACCTAACTGCTGCAAGGGATTTGAAATGCCACCAAGTTTTTGGCACTGGCTCCACCCAAATGCTCCGGGCTGGAGCACGGTGGTTACTGCCTGACCGGTGCACTGAGAGAGAAAAAATTTCACTGCTCTGACCTTCAGCGGACCTTGAAGAGGTTTCTCTAATTTAGCTGCGCAAGGGAAGTTTGTGCACACTCACCCAAGCCCTGGAGAGGAGGAAACAGCAAAGTGCATTCCAGAATCATGCATTTAAACATGCAGAAATGCACCAATTACGGATCCAATCACTTTCCAGAAATTCAGGCCTGCTCTCAGGTCTCAGGGGCTAGCTCTCTGCCGTTTCCAGGGCTCAGCTGGATGCAAGCAGTCTAGTTACTGGATGGATTTTTTTGAAAAACATACAGACACACTTACGAGTAGCTTTAAAAGCAGTAGAATTTTAATTTAAAGAGAGAGACATTACAAGTGTCACAAAGATTAATAAAATAATTGCATCAGAAGTATCATGGCTGTGGGGCTTTATATATTTGCTTCTCCCTTCAGTGCTGAAAGATGCAAATTGCAGCTGTTGCCCCCCTCCAGCATGATCACCCTCTCCCTGTTTTGACAGATTTCTTGAAAGACTCATCTCACAAGATGTCTGGCTTTTTTTGTTCTGCCTTTAGTAATTTTCCACTTCTCAAACACCTGCCCCTGCAGAGATGCTTGGGACTATCCCAATCTTCAGGCAGCCTACTGTCCCAAGAATTACTTACAACCTGAGCACTGAAATGTAATGACTATCGTCCCTGGTCGGGCGAGAGGTGACAGTTTCCCATATCGCTAAGACTGGATTTCACCTACGTTGACAAAAAGGCATTCCATGAGAATCACTAAAATGATTTCCACAGCATCAGCCATAATTTATAAGAGGCAAACCGAAAGATTCCCTGTATCACCACAGTATCTCTACTGCTATAATCCTGTCCTACCCTTTAAGGGGCAGCATCTTCATTTTCACTTTGCTGGCTATTTGAAAGCCCAAAGGCAGGAAGAGGCCACTGGCGATTCATACCGGCTTCCCACCTCATGCAGTTTTCTATCGTTGGTACTACCCAGAGGCACAGTCCCTACCGTGCATTAGGGCTCTGCAGCAAACCTGCAGCAGATCATGTTCAGTTCCACAAAATTAACACAATCTTTAATTAATGCAAGAAGCACTGATGAGTAATAAATCATATTAAAATACAAGGAAGGGAAATTTTTAATAAATTAAGCATTGATTCACTCAATAAATATTAATCTATTAAGCATCAAGAATTCATTATGTTTTAGAAAACCAGTTGAAAAACCTCACTGGTGAGCTGGTCTGAAGTGTGCAGAACGGTCCCTGTTCACCTATCATATATACTTATTTTTAACTAATTCCTTATTTTATCAAGTTAAACAACTTGCCTGAAAGTGAGTCTGGATTATTATTCCATTGCAATATGCAATTTTCTCGACAGAGATTCTAACTTGCCCCTCGGATCATTTCCTAAATTTTTCTTAGTAACTCCCTTTCTGAGTACCTCCTTTCTCTTCCTTGAGGTTGGTGGTCTTTAAAATATTTACTGACTGGTGTCATTTAATTTTCACCTCAGTTAACTGAGTGAGAGTTGCAAAACTAGAAAAATATTGTAGGGGGATGCAAATTAACTCATTCATTTAAGTTTAGCTTATCTACGAGATGTTCTTTCACACTTTGCTCTCTGCAGAGTTCCTCCAACCTTTTATATAGATGTGGGATGTGCTGCACTTGCTTTGACTCTTATCTACAGATTAGCAAAAGAGAAGGAAAAAAAGCCAGATGCAAAGATGCCCCACGAGACTGATACGGAGCTGTTTCTGTAGCAACCGATGATTTTCTTCTCATGTAAGAATGAGCCTAGTCATATCTAATTCTGAATGTATCTGGGCCTCACTTGCCAGCCAAAGCTGTGTCAAGTATAAAGTCAATATAGTCAGAAAGAGTGATAAAAAAAAGCAATTATAAAGTCATCTTCCTACTCCTACACTCCTCCTCCAGCCAGGATCCAAAAGATATCCTTACCCCTGCCTTCTGTCCCAGCACATCACCTCCAAGCCCCCAACATCCAGCAGAGGTGGTAAGCAGAGATGGAGGTGGCAGCCAGCCACCCAGGTATCACACACATGAGGTTGCTGTGCTGGAAGCTCCTTCAGCAGTCCCGTGCACCCACGTCCCAGGAGACGGCATGCTCTGGCAGGGTTTCTCTAGATCTCAAGGGCATCTATACCTGCCTTGCTCTGAGTCTCCATATAAAACTCCTAAGCCCAGAGCTGAGATCAATTTCAGCTTTAGAAAGCTCTTGTTGGGTTTGTGCCATTTCACTATCTTCACTCTGCGGGCAGTGTTTTCTGCAGCTATGAACCCAAAGGCAGGCTGCCCATCTCACTAACATCTCCTGCCATAGTCCACCCATACGAAGCTGAAATGGACTCTCTGGGACCACAGGAGGACTTTGTCTTACTAAATGTATTTTACCCAGCCTGGTTTCTGCTATTGATCTCTTCCATCTAATTTTAATGTGGTTTGAA